GTGTAAACACAATAAATAAACTAAAATCACAGTAGACTTGGCAACAGTGGTATTGTTGTTGATATCTTAACTCCCTGACATTTACTCTTTTTGGTTTGTGAAGGATAGCTTCATCAGGTTGTTGTATGGCTGCATAATATTGATGAGATAATTGCCTGACATATATATATATTTTTTTTAAATTCTGCATAAGGAATGCAGTTGATATATGCTTAATTTATGCATGGCAATCTATGCTAACTTGTGGTCTACAACTGGGTCAGACTAGTATGTATGAAGCAGATATTGTGAATATGATATTCCCAGCCATCATTGTTCCGTAAGTGGGTCATTTCTATCTAGCTCTTCTTCACAAGATTCTTGGATGTTCAGTTTTTGGATATGGCAGAGATAAAGATTGTTGGTTTTGTTTCTTGGTTTAGCTCTTAAATATGAATAAGGGTAATTTCCCAAATCCTGTTGTGCAGATTATGAGATTTTGTACCACTGAGGCTAGGAAGCCATGTGTACAAGCCATGTCCTCGGTGATTTTATTGTATTGAATGAGTTACTGATCTTATCCTTATACCCAATTCCTTGAATTTTTGGAAAGGAGTACTTAGACTTTCATTCCCTTTGTTTTCATTACTATGTTTTCTTTATAACCGTATTATAATATATTTGATTATGATAATGATAATATTATTAATGATAATGAGTAAATAGATGAGGTCAGGAAGGCCTAGTATTTGACTCCTTGTTTGTTGAACCATTGATATATAATTGAGATGGATAGAGTAGAACTACAGTGGACAGTACATATACCTGGGCTTTGTAGAAGGAACCTCAAATTTTACTTTTTGCTCTTTGGCATTAATATTGATGATGAAATTGTCTCTCGAATTTCCTAAATTATATAATTTTTAAACTTTTACATATACCATTAACATGTTTGAAATTTACCTGTTCCCCTTAGGATGAGATGTAAGCAAACTTTGAGCATCATATATATTAAGATCATTTATACTAATTTATTTCATTGACTTTAGCTTTATTTGATTTTCACTAAAATAGTAATCCATTGTTAAAAAAAGGATAGAAAATCTGTTTATAAAATCAATGTGGGAGCTCACGTCACTATTAGAATTTATGTGTTTAACCTTTTGATCATGGCCTGTAACTCCATAGCCATTCCCCGGGATGTATCTTTCAAGGGGGTTCTGACAAAAATAAAAAATCATTTATAGGGTCTTGACATTTGTACTGTACCTAGAGTTTTGGAATACCATAAATGTCAATTCTAGCTCAATAAACCCAATCTCCTAATCTCTCCATGCCTGAAATTAACTCTTTGGATCTTGGTGCCTTGCCACTTGCTCTTGGACCAAAATCTGGGCATTAGATGTCCTTGAGTGGCAACTCTCATGGGTGTGTGGCCTGTAGGTCCAGCCCACACGAACACTTGCCTCTCTGCAGTGCTATTAACCCTTTGTCTGCAGATGCATTTTTATTGTTTTGTCATTTTCTGTATAAAACTTGCATGTTAAGATTGGGGGTCATGAGTTTTTACCAACTTTTAACTTCTATTATTATATTGCATTGACTCATCTTTGTCTCAGGTTTGAGTAGGTGAGAAGGTTAATCCATAAATCTACAAAACTAAGGGAGCTATATATATATGCAGCTATCGAGAAAGTATCACAATTTTTAATTGTTCTCAGATTTTTGTTGTTTCTTCACTTGACATTCCACTTGAGTAGCTAAACAATGCTAATCTGATCATTATTGAGTTTTTTCTCATTGACAGTAAAGAGTCATTGCCTTGAATAATAGTTAAGAATCATGACCACAGTCACTTAATGGGGTCAAAGGATTAAGTTTAATTTTTGTAAAGAAAGGACTTTAAATATCAGAGAATTCATGATAATTTATGATAAGGCTTTGCTAGTGATATGCAACAGGTTTAAAATATTTGTTGTTTTAGTTTTTTTTTCTAGGGTATCGTATTCAAAATGAAGTACTGTCTTTTTGATGAACAAGAATTTTGTGCTGGAGTTTTAACAATTTTAATGCTCTTAGGCCTGCCTGGTGTGTTCTCTTCTTGAAAATTAACAATTAGATTATTTTCTCATATATGTGCATATAGTATTTATATTTTTAATATTTTTTACACAATAGATGATTTACTGTTAAATCATAAAATGTATTAGTTTCGATAATATGAACATACACTACCACACCACACCACCCATCACTCAGTATTTTTTAGAATTTCAACAATTTTCTCCATATGAAGTTCAAATGTCATTTTAGAATGAGTTAGACTAACATATCTTTCAAATGAATATCTTCAGAGTGAAAGGATTACGGTTATTGAAGCGACTATGGAAGAAACTACTTCGAAACTTGCGGCGTCAGAAGCTAAGTGTGCGGAGCTGGAGGAAAGGCTCCAGCAGACAACGGCCTCCTGTGAGACCCTCACGCAGAAAATAGACGAGCTCACTGCCGAAAATGACACCCTTACCCAACGCGTGGAAGACTTGGAGAAAGAGAAGGAGGGCACAGCCAAAACTATAGCTATGTTGGAATTTAACAATGAGCATAACAAAGACAAGGTGAGTCTAGGAGATTGGAGTCATTATGTTAGCTTTTTCTCTGGTTTTATGGGACTCTTGCTTTAAATACAAATTAGGGTAAGATGAAAATGAATGTTGAATTTTTCTTTTGGCAGTCTTTCATAGAAGCAAGGTTAACTTCAGAGATGAGATATATTATTGTCACATAAATGCTACAGGGACTTTGACCTTTTGTACCCAGTCCTTTCTGATACCTTCTCCCCCATTTGTTTTATTAAAGAAAAAGAAAAGGAAAAAAAAAAAAAATAAATAAATAAAAAAAATAAAAAAATAAAATATATATTTGTATATATATATATATATATATATATATATATATATATATATATATATATATAAATTATATGAATTTCAGGGAATGTTAAGTAACTTTTTGCTTGCTATGGAGAGGTTAGTGATCAAATAGTCTATATAATACTAATTTAATTTTGTTGTTAGGTCCGAAATATGGAACTTTCCAACAATGACCTGAAGGAAACTATAGAAACCCTCATGAAAGAGAAAGATGAGCTTAACAGGCAGCTAAGAGAAGATTCCTCTGGAGTGATAGACCAATATATTAAAGAGAAAGATGAATTAGAGGAGAGATTAACAAAGGAAAAGGAAGAACAACTGGAGAAGTATGTTAAAGAGGACAAAGCTCTTAGAGAGCAGCTGGAAGGCCTCATGGAGATTAGGTTTGTATTGCTTTTGCATCTTTTTTTAGTTGATGTATCTGATGTTTTTCTTGCTCGAAGAGGAGTGAGGAAAACAAGTGTGGCAGTAATTAGTGGCCATTGTGATGTTGCATAAACATGTGAATTACCACAGCCCCATTGTTATATACAATTAACTTATTTTGTTATTTTCCTTCCAGACTTAGTTATGAGAAACAGATTAAGCAAATAGAGGAGAACAATGCAGCAATGCACAGAAAGATAGGTGGAGTACAGACAGAGAGGGATGCTGCCCTTAAAGAGGCTGCCCACACCAAATCCCAAAAAGTTGATCTGGAGAAGAAATTTGATGATCTCACTAAGGTTAAGAGCACCATGGAAGAAGAAATTGTTACACTTAAGGGGACCATTTCCAACCTGGAAGAGAAATTGTCATTGCAAGAAAACCAGGTGCAGACTCTTAATGAGACCATCAACACACTGAACAACAACATCCTCAACCTTCAGAAGCAAGTGGAAGGACTCAACGAAACGAATGGCAAACTTGCTCGGGATCTGGAGTCCGAGAGCAGGACACGAATCGAAACCCAGGACCAGCTGACCAAGACGGCCACGGCAAACAGGCAACTTGAAGAAACAGCTAAGGTTGACAAAGAATCACTAGGCAAGTTAGAAGCTGAAAGGAAGGAGCTTCAGTCTAGAGTTGAAGCCTTAACAGACCATAGCAAAATGCCAGGGAAATTTAGTGAATTGCAGTCACGTATAGCTGAACTAGAATCAGAAAATAAGACACTCTTGGAGAAATTGGATAATGCCAAAACAGTCAGTAGTGCCTCTCAAGAAGAAAGTGTAACTAACAGTGTTATGGAAAATAATAAAGTTGACCATTCAAAAGAACTGCAAAGTTTAAAATCATCTTTGCAAGCCAAAGAAGAAGAATTAGCAAAGGTCAGACAAAACTTGAGAGAAGTGAAGGAAAAGTTGACGTAAGTAGAAGTGGAAAACCTTTCCTTTGGACTTTTCTTTTAAATAGTTTTATCTTGTCACTTATTTATTTCTATTATTTTGAAATATTTAAAAGATTATACCATATTTAGAAAGATACCAAATGTTCTTTTGCCGACAATCACACATGCTTAGTCGCACATATTTGCATAATCACCTATATTAGATGTTATTTAACCCGCTGACACCATGTGTACTTGCACTATTCACTGTGGTTTTCTTTTATTAATTTGGTTTAGATGTAGATGTCTCCAGAAACACTTGGGCACCAAGGAATCACTTACTTGATGTTATCCACATTTGATTATTATTACTATGATTATTGTTGATAATTTTATATTAGTAATACTGATAATAAATAATAATTATAATGATTTTGATAATAGTGATCGCAGTGAAAACATACTCCCATGAATTTAAGAAATGTGTTAACCAGAGGTGTTAGTAAAATCAATAAAACAAAAGTACTGTGGACAGTGCATGGACTCAGTGACAGTAGGTTAAGAGGAAATTTGGAATATAGAAAAATATGATATAGGTGATCATTATTTTTGGTCACTGAACCTGGGTGATTTTACATTTTTTTTCTTTTCTGTAGTAAATTCATTTTTGAAACTAAATGACATTAAATGTATGCAAAATTTTATTTCCAAGAAGTGCCTTTACATACCTGCTAATGGACCTGCATTGTAGTAGATTATTCTAGTTGTTTGTTTTTATTTATTTATCTAATGTTATTTCAGGCTAGCTGAGGTTGTGAGCGGAGAGGTTGAAGAGCAGAGGCAAAGAGTGCGAGAGGTAGAGTCCAAGATGGCTGTGATGGAGGAGCAGCACCGGCAGCAAATCAAAACGATAGCTCTTGAGGCGGAGAGACAGGTTGCTGTCAAGGAGCAAGAGTGTCAACAAACAATTACTTCTGCATATGGTGATTACTTCCATCATTTTTTATATGAATGTTAACATAATTAATATGAATATTTTTATGATTGATATTATAATTGATATTATTATAATATTATTAATGTTAACCCATTCGCCCCATGAGGCAAGAATAGATGCCATGCCCACTGTAATACACGTTTATATATTGTATTTACACATAGATGGCTCTGCAAGTTCTTAATCACCAGATAACCAGTTTATCAGAACTACTTATCTCACCTGTTTACCCTTTTCCTTCACTTTAGGATTTTTTTTTTGTATCATTTCATTGTCTAAAATATTTTAATGACAATTTAATAATCATAACATCAATAACAATAATAACAGTATCAATAGCAATGGTATTAATTTTCCCACCAATTCAATGAATGGGAAAATCAGGATCGATAGCTAGGGCCTACTGATAGACTCCTTGCCGGCTGAGCACATGTGGAGCCATCTGTATGTAACAAAATCCACCATAGAAAATCCATAGGGGATAGAACATAAATCCGGGGCAAATGGGTTAGTATTATTAATATTTATATTATTATTAATATTAATATTAATATTATTGTTATTGTTATTATTCATGTTGGTGTTCATGTTGGTGTTCATGTTAATGTTAATGTCATTGTTAATGTCATTGTCATTGCCATTGTTATCATTATCATTATCATTATCATTATCATTATCATTATCGTTTTTATTAATATTATTATCATTATTATTATTATTATTATTATTATTATTATTATTTTTGTTATTATTATTGTTATTGTTATTGTTATTGTTATTATTATTATTATTGTTATTGTTATTGTTATTGTTATTGTTATTGTTATTGTTATTGTTATTGTTATTGTTATTATTATTGTTATTGTTATTGTTATTGTTATTGTTATTGTTATTGTTATTGTTATTGTTATTGTTATTGTTATTGTTATTATTATTATTATTATTATTATTATTATTATTATTATTAGTAGTAGTAGTAGTAGTAGTAGTAGTAGTAGTAGTAGTAGTAGTAGTAGTAGTAATATTGTTGTTATTATTAATATTAATATTGATACTGATATTGATGATGTTAATATTGATATTACTATTAATATTAATATTAATGTTAGTATTAGTATTACTATTACTATTGATATTGATATTATTATCATTATTGATATTAATATTGATATTAATATTGTTATTGACGTTTAAGTTGACTTTGACATTGGTGGTGTTAATATTAATATTATTAATGTTAATATAAAGAGATATTAATGTTAATATAAAGAGATATTAATGTTAATAATTTTATTATTATTGTAATTATGATCATAATTATAATTGTAATTATAATTATAATTTGATGATGCTGATGATATCATTATCATTATTATAATCATTATTATCATTATAATTATTGTTCATGATACTTTGATACTGTTTATTGATTACATAAACAAAAAATAATTATTTTTTAACTTGGTTTTACTGAATTCACTTTGTATTTTTTGATTTGTCAAAAATTATGGTAGTGTGGATATATTGACACTAACATGTCTATATATTTTTTTCTTTAATGTGCAGACCAACAAGACAATGAAACAAATTCCCTTGTTCGTCAGCATCGCGAAGCCATACGAGAAGCTCAGGAAGAGGCCCGGGAGAAGGCATCGGCCCTTGACTCTGTGGTCCACGAGTACCAAGGCAAACTCAAGGTCAGAAGTCAGTTAACCAGGATCAGATTTGATCATTGTCTTAGCTTAAAATGGAAACTTGTATGAGATAGTCTTGTCTTTCATATTTTTCTTTCAATAAAATGTGAGGTAGTATGAGTTAATATCCTGGTATATCCTTTTTTAACAAATAGTATATTCATCAAACTCAGTCTCAGTTTGTGAGAATCACTTTTGGCTCACTGATAAATTGTGTTTTCTTTCCCAATTCAGTTCAGGGATGAATTATCAGTTTCCCCTACCTTTATCTTTGGAATGTCTGTTATATAATGCATGAATTCTCCTATTAATGTTCACTCCCTCTTTCTCTCCCTACATGGATTTGGTATTGGATTCATGACCACCTGTGGACCGTGTGTGTGCCCTACAAAACCCCCTGAAACTCCAATGAATTATTGCCTGCGTTGGATGAAACTATCATGCGATTGGCAACTTTTCCATTTGAACTGTGAAATATTATATAATGTTATCTCATTTTACATGTGGATCTATGTAAAATGATTCATAAAACATTATTTTGTGGGATGGGGAAAATTGTTAATTTTTTGGTGGCGTTTATCTCAACAAATA